TTTTTTTTTTTTTTTTTTTTTTTTTTTTTTTTTTTTTTTTTTTTTTTTTTTTTTTTTGTAATAACAATTAAAAATAAACCAAAAGGGTGGAAATATTTAAAGAAAAAAAATGGTGAAAATGGGTCAACGGTAAATTTGAAGCACTAGCTTCCACTTTGCTGACGGTAACTAAATGGAGTCTCATCCTTAGAGGCACCTTTTTACCCACAGTCAACAAAGGGAAGCTAGTTACCATTCTTTTGACCACCCAAAACGACGACGTATGGACAACTACTTTGCCTTCTTGCTTTCATATGCCCCCTTCAAAGCACTGCTCTTGTGATCTTCCTTCATATCACCCTCGTCTATTTATAGGGCCCCATTGTCCTTTTTCTACTATAATGAAATGACACAAATAGCCCTAAACTTTTAAATTATTAGGTCAATAAAAACGAAAAGCAAATGCATTGAACATTGCATTGAATTTGAAATTCAGAGTATTTGGTGTGTTTGCCTAAATTTGGTAAATTCAATTAATTTATATATGTATATTGAGTAATTCACGGGGCAATGCATCTCGCTAACTTTAGTAGGCTATTAAGATGACAATAACTACAATTAAAGAAAACAAAGTTGTAATGCATTATACAAAATCGACACATCTTCCCTAACAAAAATTTAGTATATAATTAACTATATTAATATTTTTGATGAAGCGAACATCGAAAAAGTCACTATCAGCAAAAATGAATCTCAGTAGTAATTGACATTGACATGTATTTATTCTTTTGAGGTCGGAGGTTCAAATTCTCATACCCCATTTGTTGTATCAAAAAGAACGAATTTAGACAGAGTTGAGAAGGACGGTTTTAAAAGGTATATGTGAGAATGATATATTTTACATTATAGTAAGACATAAATAGAAACTAATAACTTGGAAAATTATATTCCGTTAATTTCCAACTCAAAGATGACCAAAAAAAGTTACCCAACCCAACATTTCAGATAGGATATGAATATGTACACATGATTTCATGAAGAAAAGGAAATTAAAGACTTACATGAAAGAAGGGGACCTTGAGAAAGGTTGTCGGTTCGATCTATGGTATTAAACGTCGTCGTAGGACGAGTGTGGAGCAGCGGTACATCCCGGATCAAAAGGATCCTCAGACCCACAGCAATGCCAGTATTGTAAGACTTTGCCAGAGTCTGGAGTGTCCATTGTTCCTCCTGTGTGTACACTTTCAAACTTACGCTTTGTTTCACCTGTATAAAGAAAGAATAACACAGGAATAGATTATGGTTTTGAGAAGAAAATACGTGCAAATCAAGGTAGGAATCAAGTAGTGACTCGAGAAGTTGGAACTTGGACTTTCAGAAAGAAATCAATAATGATTTGAAGTAGTAAATTGAATTGTAGTCTATTTCCAATCCTCAAAATTATTCAAACCTTCTCGTTTTGAGTGATTCAACAGAACATTTTTGAGTTTCAAAGTCAATCTCAGTCTTTCGATAATCCAATCGATATCGGTCAGCATAAATTTGGTTATACACAAGGTTTGAATTATTCACAATTTCTAAGGCCATGTTTGATACCTAATTGTTTTTTGTTCTTTGTTTCGTTGTTGTAAATGCTTTCAAAATCCAAGCGATTAAAGCTATTGTTTAAAGCAACTCAACCAAAAGGGAAAGCAGATGGCTTTTACTTGCAGAGTCCAAAAAAGTCATCAGTGGTAAAGAGCTAGAATTTTGATCCAAAACCTATTTTTTTTTCGGGAATTTTAACTTATTTCAGTTTAGGAAGTTCCTAAACTTTCATATATTCTACTTCTAACTTCGTAAGAACAACTATTTAACCCCTGATCATGATATTTTTGTATATAATGTAACGGAGACCTAACACAACATAAGTTTAATTTGTTTGCATCATGAACAGATATCTACAAGTATTTGAAGTAAAAGAAGTACCAAAAGTAAATTGATGAGAATAGGTTATAAACCTTCAATTTAGAGTGTCCATCAAGCAGCACCTTGATTACAACTAACACAAGTATTACAAATCATGGATAAATCAAGAGCTGAGCATCAACCAAAGATTTAAATAAACGCATTTAAATTGTACAAATGGAAACGCAAAATGGCTATGAAGTTGAACAAAACACAACTAACTTTGGATGTTTACATTTTGGTTCCTATTATTTCAACACGATTCTCGACTTTTAAAATGTCTATTTTAGTCTCTAAATTTTAAAAAGTAATCCTTTTGGTCCTGACAAGGACCAAAATTGTTCTTTTTAAAAATTTAAGGACTAATATGGCATTTTGTATGTAAAAACTAGGGACTTAAACTATGAAATAAGTACCAAAACGCAATTGAAGAGAAGGTTGGGAATGCGAACAAAGTATCACATAAGGTCCGAAGAAAGCTGCGTTGAACATGAAATAAAACTTGATTGAGGACAACGAAACCTCACCTAAGGTCCGAAGAAGCCACAAAAAGGGTGAAAGAGTTGGGGTTTGAGTTCACGTCAAGAATAGCCATGAGCGAGTGTATATCATGGCATCACACGATAGAAAGATTATGTCCATGATAAGTGGTATAAGAACCATGCCCCTGAGTTAGCCATGTCTAGTAAAATTCTCAAATACCTAACAAAGTGATGAGTCTCAAATAGACATAGTCATGTAGGATTGTGGATGAATCCTCAAATGTCAAACAAGTGTGTTTGAGGGGAGGATCGCTAAGGGTATGCTAAGGAATGGTCTACGTTGTGTAATCCACAATGTGATTCGTGGTGGAGCTTTATCGAATACGCGGTGTTTAGAGGAGTTGTGTCCTGAATGAGAGCAAACTCTTGGTGAAGCCAAAGAATTGGACAGATGGAATGACTATTAAGGGTAGGATTATTTGGAATGCAAACAAAATCAAACAAAATCATACATTGGAGTATGCAATTTCCAGTTTCCATCAAGAAGCACAATGTACAACTGACTAAACGGTGACTACATATCATAATCAAATCAAACGCTGAGAAGAAACTAAAGCTTTTAACACACTCAAATTGTACATCACAGAAACGAAAAACGGAAATGAAATCGGAAGAACTAAAAACAACTTAGGGCGTTACCTCCAAAATGAGCAGTATGAAATCGGCAAGCTCGAGGATGATTAAGGGAAGGATCAAATTGCGCCTTGCAATTCCTGCAAGTTCTAAGCGTCAATTGATCGTTAGAATTCGCAGAGCTACGGATTCTAGAGAATTTCAGCGAATTTGCACTCAGTTTCGAAGTGCGATTCAGACAACCGGAACGAAAATCTCTAACTTCTGAATGGAAAGAAATGAAACGAGCTGATAAACAGCAACAATGGAGATTTAGAGCCATTGCTCCGAAATGGTAGATTTCTGTACCAGTGATAGATGAAGTCAGGAGTTCGTTCTAATTTCTATTTGAGGAGCTGAATCCGTGGAATCGGTAAACCAGAGGCTCTTATTCAATTCTTGAAATTATAGATTTTTCCTTTTCTTAAAATAATATTTAGAAAAATCGAAGCATTTTAACAGAATTTTAAAAAATCAATAAATAAATTATTTAAATATCCTTTTAGCCCTTAAAATATTCATTTTTATTTATTATTTGGGTAAAATTTAATCAACGAAAATCCTTTAAAATAAATTTAATGGAAAAAAAATTTTACAAATTTATTTGGGTTTAATATGTTATTATTTAAATCAAAATAATTTTGTATATAATTTTGTATATATTTAAAATTGGGAAAAATAAGTTTATTTTGTTGGAGATACCAAATTCCGGCAACCCCAATCTTGGATTTCTCGACGGCTCCCTGAAAGGAACGAAAATGGAGTTGAGTTTCACATACGCACCTTCTCCTTCGCTTCACAGCAGGCTTATGTGCTTCAACCATGGAGTTTTAGCTTCTCCCTTTCCAGTTTCCACTCCTTTCAAGCACTCTCATGGCGCTAATTCCAGTTCTAATGCTTTTAGAATCAGGAAATCCGTTCCCGTTGCGGCGGTCAAGGCCTCGCTCAGTTCGTCGCCTCTGAGACGAACCTTATCCAGTAATTGGGATGTTTTGGGAAACTATTCTGCAGCTTCGGCGCCAGCGCTGCCTCGATTCGAAGAGCTCGATACAACCAATATGCTTCTACGCCAGCGAATCATCTTCTTGGGCTCTCAGGTAATCTCTCCAACAATTTCCTGATTTATGAACTTCCTGGTCCATTTCTTTGATTTTTGTTTGAATTTTGTGGTGCTTTTTAGTGGGTTTGAATTATGAGGTTTTGGTTTCTGGCAGGTTGATGACATGACGGCAGATTTCATCATAAGCCAGCTACTCTTTCTTGATGCTGAAGATCCAACAAAGGATATCAAATTGTTAATCAACTCACCTGGTGGTTCTGTCACTGCTGGTATTTTCTGCATCATTTTACTTTTATCATGAAATCCTTGATTATTTTTTTTTTTCTGACTTATGCATTATAGTTCTGTTCTAAAGTAGTTGGATTGGAAGGATACTCTCGTAGAATCTTTATGGTTCAAACCTGCTTCCCTGCATTCTTTTATAATGGTTTTAGTTTTGAAATCAAATGAGTTTCTTATTGCTCCAATGCGCTCGTATGTAGAATGGAAATTGCATAGTTCAACTTTTTTTACTTAAATGAGTTCAACTGCCTTCTGTGTTGATCAAGTTCAGATAATACAACAACAATTTCTCTTTCAGCCTTTCACCCCCTTTGCATTGAATGTAGTTCTCAATCCAAGATAAACATATTTCAAAATTGTGGAATCATTGAAACCTTTAAGATGCAGTGTCGTCGGAGATTGAGAAAAAATCAAGTTACATGGGTTTTGACTTGATTATTCTCACTTTGGAAGTAGCTTGGGAACTGCCATATTTGAGTAAGGATCATAATTCGTCTAGTTGTGAGGCAAGAGTGTCTGTTATTGGTTGTGTTTTTGTATTTTGTTTTGTGAATGAAATATTATGAGACCAATTCATGTGTTCGAATCCGCGAACCGCTTGATATGCTTAGTTTTCAAAAATATTCTTATTTATCAGGTGTTCAGTTGGCTAGTTTTTACTTTTTAGCACCATGGACGTAACTTTTGCCATCGACCAAATAAAAATTATTGTATGTGGTGTGGTATTTATGGGGCAAGAGCTTGGATGATATGCGTATAACCTGATTCAAGTTCATAACAGATTCTCGGTGTGGGGCTGGTTTCATTTCTCCAACGGTCTTAAGAAAGATGTTATAAAGAAAAAATTTGTAACATCCATTCTATAGCCAGTCCAGTTTCCTCCCGGATGCCTCGGTATTCATTTGTAGTAACTTTGGCAGATGAAACCACGTACCTACCGAAGCAGTTGTCTATTCCATTGTTTCTCATAACTAAAAACTGCCCTTCTTTTGTTTGTTTATATTATGTTCCTTGGTCTCTTCATTCTTCAATCATATAAAGGGCTTCTCAAGTACATCTTTGGAATTCCACGTTTTTTTTTTCTTTTGGGCTATCTCTAATGTTGAAGGGTGTCATTTCAATCCATGTTTGTTGCTCGACATTTTTTTTGGCTGCATGTAGGAATGGGAATATATGATGCAATGAAGTTGTGCAAGGCCGATGTTTCAACGGTTTGTATGGGACTTGCCGCATCCATGGGAGCTTTTCTTCTAGCTGCTGGTTCAAAGGGAAAGCGATTCTGCATGCCCAATGGTAGAGTGATGATCCATCAACCTCTTGGAACAGCTGGAGGGAGAGTGAGTAGTAGACTATTATTTTCTGTGCTTTGATGTCAAGTGAATGCCATTTTGTCCACCGTGATTGTAATTTTTGTTTCACCTTCCAATTAAGTAATTCCTGATTGTTTCATAATTTAGTTGTTATGAACTCGATTTATGTGTGTGAACTTGTATATGAGGTCGCAACGTTTTGGTGTTATGCATATAAGAGCAGCATGGAATCAAATACAGGAAACTTCCCCAAAATTTATACCTATTGACATTGCCTGTTGATCTATGTGATAAGTTGATTTGAGCTTCCACTTATGGTCTCCCCGAATCGCTTTGTAATTCGCTGGTTAACCCGTCCATGCCAGGCGACAGATATGAGCATCCGGCTACGAGAGATGGCGTATCACAAGATTAAGCTGAACAAAATTTTGTCTAGGATCACAGGAAAACCATTGGAGCAGGTTTGCGTCTACATTGTGTCTTTAACTATCTATCTGGTTCTCAGTTTCTTGCTCGAACCCTCTTGATGTTTACGAGTTTTCGTTTGCAGATTGAATTGGACACGGATCGTGATAACTTCATGAATCCCTGGGAAGCAAAGGAATATGGTTTGATTGATGAAGTTATTGATGATGGAAAGCCAGGACTCATTGCTCCAATCGCAGAAGCCAATCCTCCGCCCAAGACCCGAGTTTGGGATCTATGGAAGATCGAAGGGAGTCGTAAAGCTAAGAAGAATTTGCCTTCAGAAACCAAGATTTTGCAGAATGGATACCAAGGAAGTGATGAGGAGCGCAGTCCCCAGCCAGAAACAGAAGAACCAAGTCCTAAATGACAGGACACCCGCCCTGTTCTTCCATTGTTGTATCCTACTTTGTTCTTTCCATTCTCAAATAGCTCCTTCTCTGTAAGATCTTAAAGGTTATTATTACCAATCAGTTAAAACCAGTTATAGGTTTTGGAAAATTCAAGAGTCCAAGCAGTCGATATCTGAATCCATGTCGAAACCTCAGTACGACATTAACGGTGAGACTTAGTTTTGTAAAGGCTCAGATCCACCGCTAGCAGATATTGTCCTCTTTAGGCTTTCCTGTTCGGGTTTCCCCTTGAGACTTTATAAAATGTGTCTGTTAGGGGAAGGTTTCTACACCTTTATAAATGGTGTTTTGTTCTCCTCACTAACTAATATGGGACATCACAATCCACCCCCTTCGGGGCCCAACGTTCTTACTGGCACACCGCCTCGTGTCTACTTCTTTCGAGAAACAGCGAGAAAGCTAGCACATCGTCTGGTTTCTAGCTCTGGTACCATTTGTAAAGGTCTAGATCCACCGCTAGCAGATATTGTCTTCTTTGGGATTTCCCTTCGGGCTTTTCCTCAAGACTTTAAAATGGCTTAGGGAAGGTTTCCACACCCTTATAAGTGTTTTGTTTTCCTAACCAATGTGGGACATCACAAGTTTAGACGGCAACCATCATGATTTTGAAAATGGAAGCTTCTTTGAGTTTTGGTAGGCTAAGATTTTGATTAAGATCGATATGTTTGAACTCAAATGTGCTCATGCATTGCTTAATAGGAAGATGTTCTTAACATCTTGTGTGGAATATTATGATATTCCCTTGTGTTTTGAAGCATATACACTATTTTCACAAAAACTTTTTTATAACTATTTTTGTTTAAATTATAAATTTAGTCTGGTTTCAAGAATAAATTAGTAAAAATAATTTATGTATTTTAAAACGTAATAATTAAAATAAAACAGATGCAATTATTCTAAAAAAAAATTATAAATTTATTCAACACAATATTTTAAGTTCTTATAATTATTTAGTTTTTTTTTATTTTTTATTTTTTATACAAATAATTTTTTTGTTCAATTATATATTTTTAATCTATGATTAAACAAAATAATTTCGGAAAATTTCGTTGGAATCTCTGGCATTTCCCCTTCTCCCGCTATTGAGGAGAAAAAGAAAAAGCACAAACTTGAGTTCTCCCAATGCATTTCCCCCTTAAATGTTCTGTTGTTTGTTCAACTGGGTTACTGATACATCAATTTTTCTGTCAATCAAGGTAATGGAGCAGTTATAAGAACACTCCATCTCTTGCTTCCTCATTGGAAAAGCGGCTGCAGGAGGAAAAGAAGGCCGATTTTGTTTGTTTCTTCTATCGTAGAGATTCTATTCCCATATATGTAAGCATCCCTTCTCTTTCTTTCTCTCTTTCTCTCATGAATTTAATTTTACTCATATGATGTTCATAAGTTCTTGCCTGCAATGTGTTTGTTCATTTGCCAATGATGGTGGAAGTTGTTTGAAGGTTGCTGCCACTGTCTCTTTTTTTTGTGCTTTTTCGTTAGTTTTAGATTTTTCTTGATCTGGATTGTTGTTTCCTTGAATTCATTTGGTTTTGTTAGATTTCTGCCGGAACTTGACGAAGCTAACATATACGTATTACGAATTATTAGTGCAAACGTTTGAATCAGTTTAGAGGTCTTGAGAACTTCGTTTTTGAGTCGCAAGAACTAAATGTTTGAAATGAAGCTAAATATTATTGTTCTAGCTGGAGCACTGGTGCTCAATCCTCTTATTATGCCCATAGGTCTGTTCCTACTTATTATCGAGGAAGGCTTTGCCTATTCCAAGGCCAATCTCTAGAGATCATAATTAACCATCCAAACCCACTGCTATAAGTTATTGTCTCTTTGGGCTTTCTCTTTCGAGCTTCCCTTCAAGGTTTTTAAAACACGTCTACTAGGGAGAGGTTTCTAGACCCTTATAAAGACTGTTTCGTTCTTCTCCTCAACCGATGTGAGATCTCACAATCCACAACCCGGAAGGGGTGGACACGAGGCGGTGTGCCAGGAAAGACGTTGGGACCCGAAGGGGGGTGGATTGAGGGGTCGCACATCGATTGGAGAAGGGAACGGGGGTGGATTGAGGGGTCTCACATCAATTGGAGTAGGGAATGAGTGCCAGCTAGGACGCAGAGTCTCGAAGGGGGCAGATTGTGAGATCCCATATCGGTTGGGGAGGAGAATGAAGCATTCTTTATAAGGATGTGGAAATCTCTTCCTTGTAGACGCATTTTAGAAACCTCAAGGAAAAGCCCGAAAGGAAAAGTCCAAAGAGGACAATAACTACTAGCAGTGAGCTTAGGTCTGTTACAAATAGTATCAGAGCCAGACACTAGGCGGTGTGCCAGCGAGGACGCTGGGCCCCAAGGGGTGGATTTTGAGATATGGGGAAACAAAACATTCCTTATAAGGGCGTAGAACCTCTCCCTAATAGACGCGTTTTAACACCTTGAGAGGAAGTCTGGAAGGAAAAGTCCAAAGAGAACAATATCTACTAGCGGTGGGTTTGGGCTGCTACGTCATTGATCTAAATTTAGAAAACAGCAAGTATTTTCAATTTGTACTTTTTTCACCTAGGAATTTGAACTCAAGACTTCGGAGGATATCTCCAAACGTCCCAATTCCGAAGCCCTTACCAGTTTCCCCACCACCCTTGGGACGCAAATTCCAAAAATTTCATATTGTCTTTTCTTTTCTGCTCTTTATCTTTGAAGTTATATTATGCTGAGAAACAATCTGAGTCCTCATGAAAGCTGGTCACTGCAGCAAATAAAATCACATGCACAATTGTAATTGTTGTTTGGCTTATTTGTTTTATTTTATTAACATTCACACCAATTTCTACTGGATCATTGAAGAATGGGGGATCATTTTGTGCTGTTGGTGGATCGGTTGCTCACTGAATCAAACCTTGAAGCTACTATTGAGAGATAAAAACATAATTCTTCATCCTATGGCCTCAACAACTGCAGATAATATGATATCTTCCATAGATATAGATATTGAATCCATATCACCTTCCAGTAAACTTGTTGAGTGCAGAATTTGTCATGATGAGGATGATGAATCAAATATGGAAACACCCTGCTCTTGCCGTGGCAGCTTGAAGGTTAGATTTAGTTTAGTCAATACCAACTGGTTTCACTTATAAATAACTCAGATAGCTATTGTTTGAATCCCCCTTTTAAAACTTTATGGCTGACTAAACTGGTTTCAACAATGTTTAGAGAAAATTGTAGAACTAGATTTGTGGCCGTTAAGAATGAGAAACAAAAGTGGGATTGAATCAAATTTCATAATAATGGCTCAGATTGGGCATCCTGTGCTATTCTTGTTTTCCTTTCCCTTTCCAATCCTTATTCCTCGTTGTGTTAGTTTAGATGGTTCATCCTGATAATCAGCTTCCAATTAGTGTCGATAATTGCAGTATGCTCATCGTATGTGCGTTCAGCGGTGGTGCAACGAGAAAGGCAACACAATCTGCGAGATTTGCCACCAGGTTTGTTGTGTTTATATTAAAAAAAGATATCTTTAATGCAGGGCTAAATTTATGGTATCAAGAACTCCTTTTTCTTATCAGGACTTTAAGCCAGGGTACACAGCACCTCCCCATGTGTTTTATAATGAAGGTATTAGCTCACTAATGCATTTCAGGTAAGCCATTAACCAACCTATCTCCCCACAATGCATATAGTTTTCTTGTATATTGAGTTCCTGTTCATACATTTCTTCAACACTTTGATATCAAATTGTGGTCTCAGGGGAAGTTGGGAGATGTCAAGGCTGAACCAGCATGTCCCTGCAGGAATGCTCGATCACGAGTATCTCGATTCCGCGTTCGATGATTTCATCAGTCCCTCTCCATGCAGCGTACTGTGCTGCCGCATAGTTGCAGTAATGGTATTCCCTCTCTCTTCAATTTACTTCATTTGCAGTTTCCTTATCTCTGTAAACCAATTTTAAGTGTCTTGGCAATTGGCCTTGCTTTCTGCTGATTGAAAAGTATTACATGTTTTTGCTCGTTGATTCATTTTCATTGACTTATTGAGGCACCAAAGAAATTTAAAATACAGTATTTGGAAATTTAAAGACGAAAATGCAAGGAGTAAATGTTGAGAATTGTTGGAAGGGAGTCTTACTTTGGCTAATTTAGGAAATGATTATGGGTTTATAAGTAAGGAATACATCTATATTGGTATGAGACCTTTTGGAGAAGCTGAAAGCAAAGCCATGAGAGCTTATACTCAAAGTGGACAATATCATACTATTGTGGGTTCGTGATTTCTAACATGGTATTAGAGTCATGCCCTTAACTTAGCCATGTCAATAGAATCCTCAAATGTTGAACAAAGAAGTTGTGAGCCTCGAAGGTGTAGCCAAAATTGACTCTAGTGTCGAACAAAGGGAGTGTACTTTGTTCGAGGACTCTAGAGAAGGAGTCGAGCCTCGATTAAGAGGAGACTGTTCGAGGGCTCCATAGGGCTCGGGGGAGGCTCTGTAGTGTACTTTGTTCAAGGGAAAGATTGTTGAAGATAGTTCATTGGCTAATTTAGGGAATGATCATGGGTTTATAAGTAAGAAATACATTTCCATTGGTATGAAACCTTTTGGGGAAGCCCAAAGCAAAGCTACAAGAGCGGACAATATCATACCATTGTGGAGAGTCGTCATTCCTAAGAGTAAAAAGTTCAACAAATGTGGAGGAATGGATTTGAACCTCGAACCTCCACGAAAAGAGTAGATGCTTTAAACGCTAAGCTATGTTCATATTTGCAACTAAGATATTATTTAGCCTATTATTTTTTTTCTCGTATTTCTATCATTATGACAGTTGGATTGACCTGAAACCCTCAGTTTGAAACTGCTAATCATATCTGTATGTTGCAGTTCATCGTCCTCCTTGTTTTACGCCATACTCTACCGATTATAATTAGTGGAGCTGGAGAGTATTCACTGACATTGTTAATGGTAAGTTTGTTGCTCGGCCTTCCTCCATTGCTTAGACCAATGAAGAGCCACAAGTTCATGTTCTGTGTATTGCAGTTGCTGATCTTGAGAATTGTTGGGATTCTTCTGCCTATATATGTCATGGTTAGGGTATTTACTTCCATTCGAAGACGGCGTCATTATCAGGTTAGTGATCCGGTTGATATCTAGAATTGATATGCATAGCATTTAGTCGTTTCAATGGCTCAGACTCCCGATGGAGCTGTGAGTTAGAAGTGTCATGTTTGATATCAATATTTGTTGGTGTGAGATCCCACATCAGTTGGAGAGGAGAACGAAACATTCTTTATAAGAGTGTGGAAACCTCTCTCTAGCATACGTGTTTTAAAAGTTTTGAGGGAAAGCCCAAAAGGGAAAGTCCAGAGAGTATAATATCTGCTAGCGGTGGGCTTGAGCTGTTACAGTTCGACTATTTCAAGGTTTAGTCTTTGAACTTTCGGGTTTATATCTATTTGATCTTTTAAGTTTAAGAAGTGTCGTTTAGGTCTCTAAACTTTCAACTACATATCCAAAAAGTCCATGAAGTTTAAGAAGTGTCTAATAAGTTTTTAAACTTTCAATTATATACTTTCTGATAGGATCCCCCTCATCACCTCGCAACATCAGATGACGAAAGTGACTCGATGAGCCATTCTCAACCACGCTTCATCAACATGAGATAGCAGCAGTTCATTGTCCTCGTCTCTGATACGATAGAAACGATGTAACAAGAGAGAAAACTGTCAGATGAAATGCGTAGAAGGTCATCGATTCATCAACACCATTCATGGCAAGGAAGTTAAGAGCTGCATACGGTCCTCGCAGCGAGCCACGACCCAGTTAGCTTCTGCAATGAAGTGTTCATCATTTGTGGTGAAACAGCAGAAACTTGTTTGGTTAGATTCAAACTCTTTATGCAATAGAATCATTGGCTCACTTACTCTCTTATGTATAAAGCGTGTAATGGTTAGAAGGGGCTTTGATCTTTGTATATAATATGTGTTGCTTCAAAGATGAATGTGTGTTTATTAGTTGATAGCTGCTAAATTTGCTTTTAAATCTATACATATATACATATACATACATATATACATACATATATTAGCTTTGATGTTTAAAATATTAGTGTTGACAACAACGTCGAAACCTCGACTTTGTGAAAATATCGATAAAAGTCGGAAGTGAGTGATATTACTCGAAAAATTATAAAAACAAAAAATATTTAAACTTAAAAATAAATATTTTACACTTTTTAAATAAATATGCATTAAACAAATCTAAATGAATCCATTCAAACACAAGTTACTCTAAATAAATTCATATCTAAATTTTTAAAGTTAAATTATAAAAAATATAATTGAATTTTTTTCATCTATTTTTAAAAAAATTTGTTTCAATTCTTTTGTAAATGGTAATATTATCTAAATTTTTAAAAAATATTTGTCATAACTTATTATAGTTTGAATTAGTTAAAATATTCATAAACAGTTAATATTTCGAAAATATATTAATTATAGAATATATATTAATAATAAGTAAGATTTTGATGAGTAGTATATTTTATTTTATTCTTAAAATTTATTTAGTTTATATTTTTATTAGTAAGTATTAGTCGGTAGTTTGTATTCTATTTAAACGTTGGGAATATGAATGAAGTCTCAATTTTATTTCTCATTCTTAACTTTGTATTATTTCCGTAAGTAATAATATTTTTAGACTTATTTAAACTTTTAAGCGTTAGGCATTGTGTGTCCTAAAAGTAAAAATAGTAAGAATATTAGAATACCATTTTCAAGCAAGGAAATAATATTTTTACTGGTTTATCTGTAAAAAGTAAAAAGTAAAAAGAAGTCAAATTCACTATTGTGTTCAAAGTAGCTCACGAATGTACATGTGAATTTGCCTGTACTTTCAGCAAGAAGAGAAAATTAAAATAATAATAATAATAATAATAACAAACAAAACAAGACAAAAACAAATAATTTGGATCTGTGGTTCGAGCAGATCAGATCATCGTCTTCATCCACCTCGCCATTTTGCAGCTCAAAGGTATTCTTATATCGAATCCTTCTTTCGCTCTTCAATCCTCCTCCTCCCTCTCCATTGCAATACGCTCCATAGTAAGCTTCGTAGATGCATTTCTCTCCTCTTTTTCCTATCTTGTTGTTAGATTGATTCGTAGATGCATTTCTGATTTTAATGGAATTCAGTGAAGAAATCACTGGAATTAGATAATGGCTGTGCGATATGTATTGCTCAGTAATCGACTGCACTGTGTTATATCGCTGGAGGTTTGTAGTAATTGTGTCTGGTTTAGCTGTGGTCTCAGTCGGTGATTGGGGACTAGGAAGGAGAATTGTTTTTGTGATACGTGTTCAATCTTGTGGAGAAAGTAAGATCTTATTCTTCTTAGTTCTAAAGTTAATGATTAAAAATGGATCAATGGAGAAAGGAGTGAACAGTGTAGTTCTTTGTATTTCTTTTCCTTACAATTCTTGAATCATGTACTCTGCATAAGTTGAGTGGTAGAACATCCTGTTTCTGATATTAGATGTTATGCTTTCTATCGATGAAATATTCTCTTGTTTTATATCTGATTTTTGTCTGTCTGATAATGAATATAGAGCGCTGATGGTTGCCATCTATGTATTGCAGCTAGCTCTTGAATTGATCTTTAGCTTTCTTGAAGATTGATTGAAAGACACTTCCAATTCATTTTCCCCTGACTTCGAACTAATGATTCGATGAACTTTACCTGCAGGCTGCAATTTTATAACTATTTGAGCTTGCCTAGTTCATCATGTCTGAGCATATCAAAGAGACTGGACGAGTGGACAGAGATGGACATGTTGGATCTCTAGAATCTCTGTCTTCCTCTCGGAAGGAGGTTCGTGACTTCATACATATGCATTTTCGATTTGTAGAAGTTGATAACTAATTTTCTCTACAGGAGGAAGTTATAAAGAAAAAATATGGAGGGATTGTTCCCAAGAAGCCACCACTCATTTCTAAGGTGATTTGTTTCTTGTAAAAAATTATGCATTCTTTCAGTATGATTTTCAATGAAATCCATGCATTCTTCCATATGGATGTCTAAAGCTTTTGAATCTCATCTTCAGGATCATGAACGTGCTTATTTTGATTCTGCTGATTGGGCATTGGGAAAGGTATTTATATTTTATGGCTCGTAACACCATTTTTACTGATCTCGAAATTGGTTTGCTTAACTTCACCTATTGGCTAATATATCCTCCATATTTTTGCTAATGGCAGCAAGGAGTTGAGAAGCCTAAAGGACCTTTAGAAGCCCTTCGGCCAAAATTACAGGTTGGTAAATGATGTGCTTACTGATTTTGTCTCAGGTATGCAACCTTTGATATTATTTTAGGGTTGAGATCTTGAACACATGCACTGAACAGAGTGGTTGTATTTCTCAAAATTTAGACCTTGACCTCTTGAATAAAAGATTAGGGCATAACAGTTTTAATTTCAAATTCTCAAATTTCCAAATTTAGTATCTAGTAGTTATAATAGAATGTGACACTTTTGTTTGGTAACTCTTTGCTTGATTTTTTTTCTTGGAGAAATTTAGAATGTTAAAAGTGAAACTTCATTACCTCCATTCATGAATAATTATAATAGTAGACATGGCTTTAATCCATGGAAGGATGGTGCTGCCATTACCATATCTGCTACTATTTTTGCTTAAATTCAAGCATAACCCAGTACTTTAACAAGGCATCTATACAAATATTGTGAAACGATTTGTTAGTCTGGTAATTTTTTTGTTGCCTTTTTTATTTTTATTTTTATTATAATTACTATCATCAAGTAGGAGTAGGACTTATGTGATTGCTATTTTTTTTTTCCTCTTGCATAGCCAACACAACAGCAAACTCGATACCGGAAGTCTCCTTATGCTCCATCAGATGGTGAAGGTATACTCACCTATTCAAGCTTTAACTAAAACGATCAATCTCGATAGGTCCTTGAACTTTAAAATTTTGTGCTTGAACTTTTAATTGTCTAACAGGAATTGATTGTTGGGTTCTTAGTTTAACCTCTATGTGGCTTGTTAACTATATTATATAAGGATTACACAGCCAGTTGATTTCAAGCTGTATGTTGATGTAAATGTTAAATGATTTTAGGAGCCTATTAGAAAATTTTTAAGGTCTAAATAAACTATATTCTAATATGATCGTGGTATGTTTATTCACACAGATGGAGGAACTGCTCCAAATGAATTTGCAACTTCGAACGAATGAAGCGTTGCTTGTGCTCGTTGTACCTGTTGTATGCCTGCTTAGGTATGAGCAATTTTCTTTTGTTTTTTAGAATACAATTGCTCGGGTTCGGGGTTCGTTATTGTGCTTACATTAAGAATGTGTATTGTATGGAGGATGATAACTACATTCATCTATTTCATATTTGTCATTGATGACAAATATTATGACTGACCTTACAAGTCAAATTCAAGAATGTAGTAAATCTGTGAGATATGTGTATTGTAGACCATATGCCTTCATCCTACCTTTAAAAAAAATGTTGTGTGAATTTCGATGTATATTTTTATTTAGTCTCTATCGGCAACACATCTACTACGTTGTAAGTTTAATAACGCATGGAGGTGAGAATTTTGACCTCAATTGAATATGTCTAAGTTAGCTTAACTATACCTATAAGTTTATTGGTGTCAAAATTGATCTAATAGATTTGTGATGTAAGTTACAATTTTTTAAATACCTCTAAACTAATATATGAGTTATTTATGGTTGCATATTCGATAATTAGATCGACAGAAAAGGGTAATGAGCCATAAAATGTAGAATGATTTTATACAAAATACTAGAACATTTAAATTTAAGTTTCTCTTTTTATTTTTCTTTAAAAAATTCACAATAAGAAAACTCAAAATGATCGAGAGAAAAAAAAAAAAAAATCAATTTATCACTTAAAAAAGCTTATAAAAATATCTAGGACTAATGGTGTGAGTTTCTATCTTTTTCTCGTTTTAATATGTTTTTTTTTTTTTTTTAATTATAAGATATTAAATATAAACGTCTATTAATCACTTTTCAAAGTTTAAAAATCAAATAAATACGAATCTAATAGATCATTAAACACGGTATAATTCATATAAGTCGAAGAACTAAACTATAATATTGCACCTCTCTCACTTTAACACAGCACAATAAAAGCAATTGACAAGAGAATAAATGAATGTTTTGAAGTAATTAAATGAGAAATAAATGAATTTAGTTTGTGAATGAGTTGATAAGCAAAGTAATAGAACATCAATGGCAACTTGTAGGTTCAGCGATTCATGTCCTGACGAATTTAGTTTAAACTCGTCCATTGAAATCCTGAAAAAGACATTGGGATCTCAATATCACACTAACATGAACCTGTAATTCAGTCATTTTCACTTTACTCCCCACTGTAATTACATCAGTTCCCTAAGAAGAAGCTAAAAAAAGCCTCAAAATGGTTCAAAAGTTACGACAAACGAAGTCTTTTCGAGCAGAAAAAAGAAAAAAGAAAGAAAGAAAAAGAAAAAAACACCGACTCTTCGGGGGCGAACAGTGGTAGGCTCAAACACTACAAATCCATAAATTGGCGTAACATACATAACAGATCCAAGATGACATCGAACACGATCATTTCCTAAGAAACGCCACAGTGGTAACGCGAGATCCCACAGATCCTCCAAAGGTGAATGTCGGGTACGTACGAACATGACTGAGGTACTGAAATGTAGGCAGTTCTCTTTGTGTTCCATCAGACGACTCGGGTTCTGCTGCGGAACCAACCGTTCTTTGATTAAAGTTCTCAACTTCTTGCATAAGTTCATCTTTTGTACTGTTGCAGGAAGTGATCACCTACAGAAATTACCGGGAGTCGGTTCTAGTTGCATTGCAGTTCAGCAAAGGGCAGATGCAATGTCTATGCACTAGCTCTAAGAGAATGAAATATCGAATTTGCCAAAGAACATGCGATGTAATTTTTAAAAAATGATGGTAGGAAGTGTTCAGGCAGCTCGCAAGCATTTCATTACTCTCACATGCTCAAATATTTGAATGTTGGAAGACTAATAAAATTACAAAAATTTAAATAGTTGGCCGTAGGTTTCAAACTCAAAAATACTTTTAGTTTGTCATGTGTCCCACGAACACATTAGGATAGCTCATGGTGGTTTAGCATGAAGTACAAATTTCTTTTTTCAGCCAGAGCAGTGGGAGAGGGAAAAGAAAAGCCTTACCAGTAACCCGCCCGACGCCACTAGTTTCGATACAGATTCCCAATACATGATCCTGGAAACAGTAAAAAGGAAACAAAAATTTCCAATTACTTCGACCATTTATCAGTAATGTCTATAGAACTGAAACTTGAAAATCACCAATTATCTATTTATTTTCGAGCATATGCCGCCCATGAGCTATGCGAGCGAGCACCGATCCAATGAGAAACAGTCCAGATACAACAGCATTAGAGGAGGATTATACTTGCTTATCGTTACCTTTTAATAGGACCATCTGGGTGCAATCCAATTGCATCTAAAGTTCCTTTATCCACAATGAGTTGAAATTTCCCTTCCAACTTTGTCTCAAGAACATCATCAACCTAAGCCATGTAAAACAATGCAATTAGGATGATTGCATTACATCAGGCATAAACTAAGTTATAAAATATTTCTACATAACAAATAAACGATCTACTGTTTTCTGACTATTCATGAATCACTGAAGTAAAATTTCAACATATATGTCCTTACTAATACCCTTGAAATAAGACACGTTCAACAAATAGGAGTAGCACAAGGGATGAGTTGAATAATTCTAAGACGGTTGCTAGCAAACTAGTTTGTAACTTTCCTGCTTGTAAAATTTTCTGCTTCCATTTGCTTTTCGAATCTGCAGATAATCTTATGTTTATGTTTACACTGCTAAAAACTTCAAACTACACCCTACCGTGCTTGATCGAGAAAATTTTAATAACTCAATTATATAGCTCATAAAGGCATCAAACCAATTAATATAACCAAGGGCATTTAACAACTATAACCATTTATCTAATACGTACTTCGTTCATTTTATTTACTGAACTTCCGAAAGTTTCGATTATCATCTCTAAGACTTCAAATCATGTTTGCTACCTATGGTTGACGAAATACAGATCTAACAATCATTTCTTGATACTTAGATGCAACATAATCTGACAAACAATTGGATGGATTTAAGAAATGGACTAATCATGCCCAATCTGTCTCCCAAATAAAATTCGTCAATATGCATCAATTACTGTCCCTTACCTGAGAAAAACAGCCAACAGTAAGTCCATTTAGATCTAATTCTCAAAACCAAGAATTTAAAAAACTAAGATTTGAAAACTTAAAACGATCAAATAGACACAAAGATAGACAAGATTTATGGTAAAAAAATATAATTTACCCTTCAAAAAATTATTAATCTAATTCGACCCAATAAGGCCACCTAATCTCAAGATCGACAATGACTACTCACATCATATGTGCCACACAAGTCATATACAGCCCCAGTAAAAATGTGACAATGTCGTTCACCAAACCTTTTCATTTTCTTAAAATTCCCACAGTCCAGAAACACCACCAATTTAGTGGGTTGAAGGGAACTATGTATCAAAGCACATCCAAGAGAGAGGTAAGGAGATCTGAAAAGATTTTGAATAAGTTCGGTAATCAAAATATCTGCGTGGCAAGTCATACCAAAAAGTTAATATTGGAAAAGCCATTTCGCTCTGCAAGACTTCTAGCAAGATCTATCGCCCCTTCACTGTAGTCAGTTCCTGTCAAATTGGAGAATCTGCAAGCAAATGCAAGATGACAATCAGTAAGTACTGATGCAATTGTGAGATTGTTCATCCGTTAGTAACTAAAATCTTATATCCTTAATGATTAAATTGAGTTCAAAACTAGAGCCTAGTACTTAACAACACTGGATAATTGGGAACATATAACCTTCTAGTTGTGTGCAAAAGTCTTAATCACCTAGATTAACCCTGAAGTGGCTTGCCACAAATGCTGCCCACACACTCTAAGAATCTATCTCGTTCTCCCTGTCGCGAGAGCTCACTTCTGTTTCTTTCATTCCAAAAGATCCATATATAAAGTTTAACCAAAGTAACTAAACTTCTCCTTCAAGAGAAAGCCCTCCAAGAAAAGCATATGCAGCAAGTCTGGAAGTTATTTAGGTTCAACACCTCCATATGGGTGGTTACCATAAAGGCCTTTCATAATCAGGAAGGCGTTATTCTTTTAGGTTGGAGGTCCTTTTTCTCAATTTGGGCTCCTTTTGTGTTGACTATTTTTCTAGGCCGTCATTCTATCATATTTCTCCCCGAAAGCTTAGTTTCTTATATAAAAAAAACTATATTTTTTTGACAATCTTAGGTTAGTGGATATTCCCCCAGAGTTCATATAACTGGTCAAATATGAAAGATAGGTCTGTTAATTGGTTGTCATTCTCAAATTTAGAAGATACATGGATTAGAGAGAGTAACATTAGACCACGTTCCTCTTTCATTGAAAGAGGGAAATTCCAAATTGTCATAACTCCTTTGATCAAATGCCAATGTATACTTAAAAAAGGGATTAGATCTTTTACAAGACATGTATAAAGCATCAAGCTTTAGATCTCTATGGCCAAATATAATATCTCCATCATTATCAACTAGTGTGCCAATCAATGGCTGCATCTCTTTGAACCTTTCAACCAATGGAGAAAAAAGAGGAGTGAAAAGAAAAGCGCCCTTTTCTTTTGCTCACTTCACTTCGGATTTTTGCCTCCAACGGAGAAAGTCAACAAGAGAAAAAGGATCTATCATCAAAAATATATTTCCATATTTAAAACAGAGAGAAAATATCCCAACAATATCCTTTCACCTACTCAATTTATTAACCCAAACTAATACCTATCCAGTTGAAATAAGACATAAGAGAAAAAGAAAACGCTTCTCTTAAAGGTTAGCAAGAATCAAAAGGCACATCAAAACATACCCCTCCTTAGCAAATTCTTGAAGCAGCAAACCATTTCCCGTCCCAATATCAAGTACACTCCAACCATCCAAGAATTTGAAATCCTGTTCAACATTCTGTGACTTTGCATCGTCAGCTTGATTGGGAAACTGACCTTGAGAAACATCAGAACACAAACTTTTTGTCCAAGAAGCAACAGTTTCCATAACTTCGGATCCAAACCTGAAGAATGAAAGAAGTATAAAAATAGAAAACTAGATAAATAAAAGTCTAGTATCTCTCTTATTCTACCCAGCAATCAAAATTAACTTTTTTTTTTTTTATCATTGAAGTTTAACTTGTGAATCAAGTTTAACAAACCAAATTGAATTTACAAAAAAAACATAGTCCTCAAGATGAATTATTGAGAATAATAATCAGGTATAATCATCCTTTGAATCACTAGTAACTAATATCCTGCTCAAAAAGTAAATAGTCCATGAACAGTTCTTCAATCTCTCAACGGAACTACAGCAGTACACAGAGAGTACTAACATATAGTACATTGACGAGGAAAGTGGTTAGAGAATATGATCATAGTTGAATAATATAGAAGGCCAAAAAACATACACAAAAATGAAGTGCAGCGAACTGCTGATTACATCTTTTGTCATAATACCAATGACATAATGATATTACAAGAATAATAGAAAACAAGATACCTTAAGAAATTCTTACTTACCAGACTTCACCAACATGACCATGTTCACGGAAATTTGTCAATTCATCAGCATATTGAGAATCCCAGTAGCTTTGGAGACCAAGCATTGATGACACGGCTTCTGTATCTGCTTCTATTTCATCCTTGTCAGAACTGAAAGATGAAACAAGTTTTATTTAGAATGAAAATATGGCCATTTTTTGAATCTCATTATACCAGGTTAATAATATTATTAATTCTTAATCTGGTCAAGTAGTTAAGAACGAAATACTCTACTCCCCTGTGCATCACAGAGATTCTAAGCAAAATTTTCATAGATATCTATGAGTGACTGGATTTACTCATGTGTACCTTGACTAACCTTATATGATAGCCTTTGATCCTACGAAATTTAGTTACTAAGGAAATTTATAGGATATTAGGTATGAACACCATGGTTTGAACCCACTACCTTTAAGTCATTGGCAGGCCAACCCACGATGGTCTCTAAGCATGTAGTGATTGTTACACGAGTTACGGGTAAACGTATTGAAACATAGATCTAATCTCTAAGCAAAGAGAAAAGGACACAACTACAACAGTTCTACTGCACTTACAGATTGAAGAGCTAAAGGGAAAAACAATATATGAGATCCACCCGACGTCTATGATACTGAGGAAAGAACGGGCAAGAGACTGGAGAAATGAGGATCCACTCGCACCATCAGGAATATAATATAAGCGTAAGAGAAAACGTAATCTACATGAATTGCGCCGTGGAACCATATTCATTTATTTCAGAAATCAACGAGAATAACACGAGCATTGAATGCTTTGGGAATCAATCCTAAAGAGAAACCAAAACACCAAATAACCAACTTCCAAACAGAAGCAACGTTTCAAACGAACTGCGTTTCAACTATTTTCAGTAAGATTCACACAATTCAAAAGAATTAACCACGCCATACCTGTAATCGGAAGCGGCACGCAAATTCCCAGCAGAAAGAGCCTCAGCCGCGTCGGCATTACGCTGGTCATCGTCGAGGGTGCTTCCGTACTCGCTCTTGATGGACCAAGAGTCAGCGGCCACTGATCGGTCGTCGTCGGAGACCAGGTCGACAGCAGATGGGGCTGCCCGAGCCTGATGCAACAGCTCGGCATCTTCCGGCGTCAATCGAATCGCAGCCATGATCGGAAAAATGGAAGAAAAATAGAAAATCCTAATAGGAATCTAAGAAGTGGAATTGAATCGGAAGAACCTTGGTTGGTACGACACGGAGGCGATCACAGCGGACGGTGGATCGATCTGGTGATAAGGCGTCAATTTTGGGATTTTTTTTTTGCAAATATAATATAATATTAAGGTTGTTTTGTTCTTTGAAAAAAAAAATAATAATAATAAGATGAGATTAACTTCAAAGTAATTTTATTTGAAAAATAAATTTCTAAAATTATTTATTATTATCCCTTATTTGCTTAATGTACCTTTTTATTCGACATTTTGACCCGTGTCTCACTTAACTGAGAATTACTTCAATCGTGATCTATTGTAGCTTATAAATTTCGAATCGCTTAGAAATTCACCAACCCGACCATCAAATTTCTTTTATCGTTGTTCCTTAACTTATTAGCAAACTAAATCATTTTATATATATATATATATATATATATATATATATATATATATATAATAATTTCTCGAAAGAATTAAATTATAGACTTTTTAAACCGTAAATACTTATTTATCCAACGAACTATGCTCGTATTGGTACGAAAGGCCTAGAGAAAATCTTCAATTGAAATATTGCCGGCCCAAAACACTTGGGTCAAGCCCAATCAGCGAAATAGTGCAGGCCCAAAATGCTTGGGGCCAAGCCTAATCAGCAAAATATTGCAGGCCCAAAAAGGTTGGGTCAAGCCCAATCAATGGAATCTTGCAGGCCCAAAACACTTGGGTCAAGCCCAATCAGGAAATAGTGCAGGCCCAAAACTCTTGGGCCAAGCCCAATCAGCGAAATCTTGCAGGCCCAAAACGCTTGGGTCAAGCCCAATCAGCGAAATAGTGCAGGCCCAAAACTCTTGGGCCAAGCCCAATCAGTGAAAATATTGTAGGCCCAAAACGATTGGGTCAAGCCCAATCAGCGAAATCTTGCTGGCCCAAAACGCTTGGGTCAAGCCCAACCAGCGAAATAGTGCAGGCCCAAAACTCTTGAGCCAAGCCCAATCATCGAAATCTTGCAGACCCAAAACGATTGGGTCAAGCCCAATCAACGAAATCTTGCAGGCCTTAAATGCTTGGGTCAAGCCCAATAAGGGAAATAGTGCAGGCCCAAAACGCTTGGGCCAAGACCAATCAGCGAAATATTGAAGGCCCAAAACGATTGGGTCAAGCCCAATCAACTGAATCTTGCAGGCCCAAAACGCTTGAGTCAAGCCCAATCAACAACCGCTATGATCCCTATTCTACAATGTGATGATTCCATTTCCATTTGCTTCAAAAAAAAAAAAAAAAAAAAAAAAAAAAAAAA